GGCTGCACGGTCAGGCGTGGGCAGCAGCTGGGGTGAGAGGCGGCCAGGCGGTCAGGCATGGGCGACCGAGCCTGTGTGCTGTGGACCCAGGTACGGCGCTCGACCTCTCAGAATGGACGGGTGTTCCGCGCCGGCGCGTAGCGAAGCATTCACACTGCGGTTGCGGGCGACGAAAATCGTAAGCTGGCAAGCTGATGCTCGGTGATGCCGCGGATGGTCCCATTTCACCCACGTTGTTTCATAATCCTTCACCGCGTGAGCGTCACGACGCGACCACCGAACCTCGCCGTCCGCCGTCCGACCCTCCCCTCCCGCGCACGCTGGCGCCATTGCCAGCCAACGCCTGCGGTGTCACGCATCACGCCCGAGCGAGCAGCAAGGGTCGGCGCGGCCCCACTCTGATCGATGCTTATCAGTGGGACGTGGGAGCGGGCGAGCCGCTGGAACCCACGCTCGTCACGTGTCGAAAAACACGGCACTGACTGGTGCGGGCTGGCTGTAAGGTGTTGGAAAGCACGGCAGTGGCTGGTGCAAGACGGCCGGCTGTCGCGGGCGGAAAGAGGGCACGAGTTCGGCCCGCAGCGGCCGACCACCCGTTCGGCGGATGCCGTGGCTGAGTCGGGCCGTAATGCAGTATTCATCACGCCAGTACCTGTCACCGTGCAATGGGGCTCTCCGTAGTGCGATGGTGTCAAGGTCCCTTCGGCGCCCCAGTGATTACAATGCTGTGATCCTACGATATTCACCATCGCCAGTAGGCATGCCGCAATGAATAAGATGAGCACACCCTTGCTCCAGTTGGAATAGCTAAATATTACACCAGTCCTAGTTTCTGGCACGGAGGCTGATTGCTTTGCTTCACGGATTTTCTGGTTAGCATTTTGAGCAATTTGAGCAAAAAATTGAGCATGGAGACAACGTAGAAGACGGCGCGCAATCGTCGAGGGCCACCAGGCGTTGCCGGTTTTAACGACACGAGATCAATGCCGCGCAGCGCAGTGCGTGCCCAACCACCCTAGTGCACCGCCTCTGTGTTCCGTCATCCCGCCAGTGGCTTGTGCCGCTCATGTACCTGTCGCTCGCGCGCTCCGCCGACAATACAGCCCTGCATTCCGTCATCCCGGCAGTGGAATGTGCCGCTCATGTGCCTGTTGCTCGCGCGCTCCGCTGACAATACAGCCCTATCGCATCGATCTGTTCGGACCACGCCGGTCGTACTTCCGGCGCAGCTGCTGAGGTTTCACGGCATCCTCAGTGCAAATCACTGTGACGACGTGGCACTGATTACCACGACCAGGGATCCGCTTCGGAGGGTCGGTCGGTCAGGTCACTGATGACGCCGACCGGCGGCGGCCGCCCGCCTGGACCGCGCGGCGGTTGCTGCCGGCTGACGCGCCGCCGCCAGGACCAGGGCGCACGCCATCCCGGCCACACCAACAGAAGATCCCCTGCGGGCGCGCGCAGCAACAGCAGGTCTCCCACCACTGAACGGATTAAGTTCACAGCGCGAGTAGCACACGCAACACAAGCAAGAGCTGCGGACTCGAGCCAGTGGTCCTTTACTACGAACCATCGCTCGGTGTCATTCGGCTATCGAAACGAATGTTAAGTGCCTACTTCACGTCGAGTATCGAACATCACTTACACAGTCGATTACAAACAAAAACCCTTGCGGTTCATACAGGCCATCAGCCCCGCGTACGGAGCACCCATCGAGCCACGGCCCTGCTTGGCACGGCGGCGGCCACTGTAATACGACCCTCGAGGGCCTGCAGCGTGAAATACTCACAATCCCGCAAACGCGTTGCGGCGCCCGGGAACTGGCGCCCTATCAGACTGGGCCTTCACGGTCAGCAACCTGGTCTGACTTGAGTAAAGTTTCCGTCCTTTCCACTGAGACTCAGACGCTGCGTCCTTGCGCCGAAATGCAGAGCAGAATGGCCAGCGTCCTGACAACTCGGCACCAGCTTCAGCCGGCGCCTCGCATGCCCATCCAGTGTCGTAACCATCCGGTCGGTGCAGGTGACACAGTGTCCCCTCGTCATCGCACGATACCCGCATTGTCTGACTGGGCCCCCGTATGGATCACATTCACGGCAAACTCATGGTCTATGCATTTCCTACGTAGCGGATGACAAAACATGTGATCCATATACATCAAAACACCTAGTCACGTGCCTAACGGCTGACAAAGAGCTACCGACAGCGGGCGCCCGCCCCAAGAGGCGACTATCACGAACACGGAGCATGTCAGTGGCTCCACCTCATCAGCGTAGGGCTCGTCATTGGCCTCACGCACTGCCACCCCGTCCAGTGTCGGCCACCTACCGCCGGAGACCGCTGACGAGGGCTCCAGCGACCACGGCACACGAGATCCCGCCATCGACAGCCAGCAGTCTCCGTATCGAAGGCTCATGACCGTCAGGGAACGGCCGACTCCCACTGTAGTGATGGCCCGCTATTGGCCGCCACGTCCGTCGGACCAGGACCAAACACTCCCAAAACGGTACACCTAGCCCCGACCAACTGGCTCCCGCCCCGGCCGACGAACCGCGCAGGAGGGCATACAAACAACAGAATGCTAGGGCATGCTCTGCGCTGCGCTCGACGGACACATCTCGGGATCTGCCCTCTGTCAACAGAGCGGAGAATCAAACAGCGGCAATCAAACAGCGGCCCAGCTCGGGATCTGCCCTCTGTCAACAGAGCGGAGCATTAAACAGGGCCACAGCGTGGCCGCAGGCGCTGCGAGGCCGCGCCGCGTTCAAACCTCGCGGCGTTCCGTCGACACCGGCTATCACATCCGCTCAGCGCAGGGGTCTGCGCGGTGGCGGCGCTCGTCGCGGTGCTGCGCTCGCGGTGCGCCGACGTCTGGCGCAGGAACTCCTCCACGAGCGGTCGTATACTGGACATGCGGCGCTCGGCGCTGCGGCCGGCCGGCACGAACTCGGGCAGCGGCGGGCCGTAGTAGCGTGCGCGGGCCATCGGGTCGAACGCGGCGGCGGCGGGCGGGTACGGCAGAGGCGGCAGCGGGGCAGCCGCGCGCCGCCAGCTCGCGCATCAGCTCCGGGTACATGCGCGGCACGGCTCACGCGGCGGGAAGCGGCGGCGAGCGCTCGTGGCGGCGGCGCGGCGGCCGATCCGGCTGTAAGGTGGAACGCGGTGGCCAGCCGGCGCTAGCGACCGGGCCGGCGGCCCGGGGCGTGTCGTCGTAGCGCGGCCGGCGGCTGGGAAGCCGCGGCGGCTCGCGCACCGGCGTGCGCAGGGCGGCCGCGTAGCCGCCACCGCCGCCGCCGCCGAGCTGCCGGCGCCGCGCTCGCGGAAGTACGCGGCCGCGAACGCATCGGCGGCGGCGTCGGCATCAGCAGCGGCTTGCTGGTTTGACGGTCGGAGGCGCGCTTCGAGTCGATCAGGATAGGGTTCATGTCGATTTAGCGTCGTCACGCAACCGCCGACAGAGCTCCTCGGCCACACGCGGCTCCACCTCCTGGCCGTCACGGCCGATTTTAACCGGCTTGCCGTTGTTCACGGGTTGTCAGATGCGCCGTCTTGGGAAACACGGCAGGTCGTTCTTGTTGATCCAAGCAACGCGGAAGACGCCGGGCGCGCGCGCGCCGGCAGCCCGGGCGGGGTAGCACCCAGCTGACGGGCGAGAGGTCGCGGCGAGACTCGCTCGACACGCGGCAGAACCCGCAGAGAACCGGCGCTCTTTCACTGAAAACACGAGCAGAACGTTGCGCGACTCGCGGAACGCCTGGTTCAGCTTGGCCTCGTTCTGCGGCGGCGTCGACCACACGCCGCGCACCTTAGACAGCGCCACATTCTCCTCGTTGTTGGACTTGATGATGAAGAAGCGCTGCGTCGCGGAACAAGTAGTTGAGCTTGGTGAGGTAGCTCTCGCGGCCGCCGCTGCCGCCGCCGCCGCCGCTGGCGGGAGCTAGAGCAGCGGCCTTCTCGCCGTTGGCCGGCGCCTTGTCGCCAGGCGGCGGCGGCGCGGCGGCGGCGCCTCCTCCTCTCCTCCCTCCTCCTCGTCGTCGGACGAGACGCTCGGCTCCGAGCCCTCGTCCACGTCGACGCTCAGCTCCGAGTGCAGCGACTTGGACGAGCTGCTGACCTCGGAGCGGGTGTCGTAGTTGTCGTCACCAGCGGCCAGCTCCCTGGCGGCAGCCTTGTCGGCGCCCGGTGCCGCCTGCTCGCCTCCCGCCTCCATGGCTGCCGCTCTGGCCGGCCCGGCGGCGCTAGAACAGCGGCGCGTCGCTCAGAGGTGGCCTGTCGCCGCCGCGGCGCCGTCCGGGCCAGGGGAGGCCGCTCTTACCCCGGCCATACCGGGCACCAACGTGTACGGCACGACTGCTGTGGAGCGGCAACGACGCCGGAGGCAGCACCGTTCAGGCCACCCCCATTACCGGCGCGAGCATGGTGCCCTGTTAGCCATCCCGCCGAACCACCAAGGATTGATAGAAACTGACCCGGCCAGCATTCGAGTGGAAGCGAACTGTGGTCACCAACGCACAGCTGCCACAATACAGGCTGGTGATTTTGTCGTACCCTGGTGTTGAAATAATACAGGTGTCACAACACCCAGAAGGGAAGGCTCGTAATGCAGGGAAGGGTCCGATAAAAAAGGAAACGTTCTCGCAAATCAATGGCCTTCAAATTTTCAGCATCACTCACCTGAAATTTGTTTCGTCATCGAGATCAAAACGGAATTTATTGATTTAGTTTTTTTTAAATGACTAAAAAGTAGTGAGTTAATCGCAGCAGGCCACATCTACAAATGCGTAGACTGGGGTTTTGAGCGCGCTCCACGCATGGAGCACGTGAGCAGCGTGTATGGCCACCTGACGTAAGGAAGGAGGGCTGTGAGCACCCGCTTCTCGCGCGTTGTAAGTTTAAACTCCTGTTTATAGTTATTGGCTTCCAGGATAACGGAGGTACTGGCAAAAGGACGCTATCAGATAACATTGGTTTTAGTTAAGTATCAACACTGCGGGATCACAAAATCCAGAGCCTTTATGACCGTATAATGCAAAAGGACACATATAGTATTCAAGCTCAACTACTGTCAGCATAAGTTCATGAGCTCCATGAAGAAAGGCCAACATTTGATGCTTCAAAAGGCCCGGCAGCGTTTTGAGAAATTCGCGATGCTTCAGTCTAGCGGTTCAACAAATCCGTCGTGAATGCCGTGAATCTGCTCTCCTGAACAGCTGTAAATTTCAAGACACAGTTCTTTGGCTTCAGATGACAGTGAATGTAAAGTCAGCCGTTTTTGCCACTTACCGCGATGAACTGAAAAGGGAAACATGACCACACAATGAATGATTGCCACATACTGGCACAACACAAGAAACATAGCAACGGTCATCAACAGACGATACCGTAATAAATCAGCCAATGACAGGTAGGCAGACATACCAGTTTCACAACGATCAGGTGGGAACTTCAGTAAACGAATGCTTTCATTCTACAGACGACCACTTCAAGACATTCGCTGACCGCATAACAGCAGTCGATTCCACACATGGAAACACTGTCATGTCATCATGTCATGGTGTACCATGACACGATGCTATGAATATATAATGACCATAATTTTTTATAACCTCACTGTTTCAACGGCTAAGTACAGTTCATAACATGATAATCAAAGCCATCTCAGCTTATCCCAGCTGGCAGAACCCTGGCGCGCTATCACACTTCCTGAACGAGGATATATAGACAATGAAGTAGGAAAACGGAAGCAGGAAAAGGCCTACTTACAGGTGATGTTACAACGCAATCGAGATGTGTTCCTGTCATCAACATTCACACTGAGACACCTGACGAAGGTGACGTAAGCCAGGCATCACCAACGTCGTTAGACGTGACCCAGTCCAGCACATGTTGCCACATTGGCGCGCCAGTTCGTGGCCGGCACCGGAGTAATCCCAGGCGTCACTGTGGGCCGCCGCGCACCGCGTGTGGCTTCGGGCGCTGACTTACTGTGCTGCTCCGCCAGCGACGCGCCCGGCGCCAGGTCGCTCGGCCCAAGCGTGAACCAGCGCGCCGGGCGCACAAACCCACTAGTCCTGGCCAACCAAGGTGAAGGCAGAGAAAAGAAACAAGGATGCGAGCCGACTTGAGGTGCGTGCTGAACGTCCGGGCGGTGGCGGGGCCGTCGGCTGGCGCGCGACGCTGACGGCGTCCGTGGTACACCGGGACAACAGCGTCCATCAGCGTCACACAGGGTCCTCACAGCGGGCCGCGCGCCCCACACACACACCGTCCGCCGGCGCGCCGGCGCGGCGCGCGCACCGGCTCGGCCCGCCAGTGCAATACCTGGAGAGACTGGGGCCCAAACGTCCCGGCCCGGGGCCGAGCGCGCCGCCAACCAACACTGGGGCGGCCACGCGCGACGGCGGCGCCGCCGTCAGCGGCCGAGTCGGCTGGCGGGCTCCCGCCGGCGCTGCTGCCGCTGCCGCCGCTGCCGTCGCTGCTGCCGCTGCGGCTGCCGGGGCCCGACCGACGCGCTGGCTTGCTTCCCTGAGTGGACTGGCTGCGCTTCTGCGATGTAAAACAACTGAGATTAGACATGCTGAATGTGCAGGGCTTATGTTTGGATGCAGCAGAGGCTGGAGGCTGTGCCCAGATGCATGAATGAGCAGATGCTGCCCCTCAGCCAGAACTCTAAATTTTGCCATTCTAAAGAAATGTACACCTGTTTTGAATGTTAAACACTGGCCACATATGATAAGATAGGTGGAGCTTGTGCACACACCATAGTAACAGCCATGCTGTGCTAGGTTGACCTTATCTGTCCAAAAAATATGTTGCTTGTCAAACTATTACAAACATATACATTATCATCTCTACTGCATCTATTATCATTGTTCTCTTCATCATTTCTCTATACCATTACCAATCGCTAAATTCTACCTGCTCTCCTCCTCATAAGCACCAATACCATTTTTAACCTTTGTGGTTTCTGGCACATTCTGACATATGTCCTTTTCAACCCTCAGCAATGAAAGTTGGACTTTTGTTGTGAAGCTATGACTCAGTCAAGCCTGTTGAAATCATGACAGCTCTGGCAAGACAGTCTGACAATGCTTTTGCTTGATTATGTGCCATTAGTCTTCCCCCATATGCTGACAGAAGAGCAGGTAAATGCCACTAGTGCATTGGCGATGACATTGGTGATGCAGGAGAGGACTGTGGCTCACCGGTGCACTGCTCAGCACCAGGTGATTTTTCCTTCATGGTGTTGTAGGAGGGTATACTGGTATCTACACACCCTTAAATACTGGCCATGGCAAAATGTCATTGGGTAGAGGTGGGGGGGGGGGGGGGGCACAGCTTCTAAGTGCGGCAGATTATCAAAAGTTTGTGGCAAAACTATACATCAGCCTATTAATGGCATATTGTGTCTGTATCTGCCTAGCCCCAACTTTACAACACAATGGATCCCAAAGATGATTGTTTTAAACTAAGGTTTGTTTTCAGGATGCTTCCATGGGAACCCATATGGTGCACACACTGCAACTGATGGCTAATAATTGACAGCTGAGCAACTCCCTCAGCGTTCACACAGTTCCATGTCCAGGGGCTTACTGTCAATGAAGGTTTTTAAGCCACAAACTGTAGATCATGATGCATGCACGTAGCAGAAAAGAAGTGTGCTAATGTAACACATAACTTGGCTTCATTGTTGTGTTCACAAAGTTGTGTGCACAGGAAACACAACATACCTGGTGGTGTTCAGTTACTACAATTTGTGTCATGATCGCAAATGCCATTTGGTTATGCTGTAATTACCATGACTACCATAATTATATGATCATTCAAGATTTTTCTTATTGCTTTCCTCTTAGTTTTCAGTTTTGTGTTGGCTGAAATTATTTTTACAGGCACTGCACTCCCTTGAAAACACCCCGTGTCGGAAATTCTAAAAAATGTCCTGGGTAGCAGAGAACCATTGGTGTAATGGAGTACAAAATTACCCAAATTGCTGTGGGTCATTACAGTTTTACTTTGGTTATCTTTGAGAGATGAACAGTACAGTAGGTGGTACTAAAAAAAAACTCCACTTTTCAAAAAACAGCAATTCATGTAAAAGCAGTTTAAATGATAGGAAACATCAGTATCAAACATGGCACATTGAAAAAAACAGTCTCATACTCTGTACTATGCACACATGTAGATATACATCGGTTTTGCAATTTATGAAAGGCTCTGTGCACACACCCTGCAAAATGGAGAGCAATGATGCGTTGGGCCTAAACACCCTGCAAAAAGGAGGGTGGCTTCACACCAGGCTTATACACCCTCCAAAATGCAGGGTGTGTACGATGTGCACAGCCAGAGAAAAAGGGTATGCAAAAAACGCAAATGATCACGCCACAGACAGCCACCTTCTCATGCTTTACCAGGCTTACACTACTCACGCTCCACCACGGTCACGCTGCTCACGTTCCACCAGCTAACTGGTTTTAAAAACAGCCAAGCATTCACGCCCACCACCTTCCACCTCCCGGTCAACACACGAGGCCCTGCACGTCCCACCGGAACAAAAGAGACAGGCAGCACTCCTCACTGATTAACCGAGCCAGCGCAAGTACAATGTCTAACAGACCGGTATAAGCCGGCCAAAAGGGATCGGAGTCAGTCACTCTGCTGACTCCAGCGGGTAACACAATGCATTAATGAATTTTGATGCTCTTTCACCAATATCATTGCAAAATATGATCATTTATGTTGCAATTCAATGTCATTTTTGGCCTAATAAGCCCTTCTCCTTAATTTGCTGGGCCAAAGTTACAGGTTCATCTCACTCTGGTGTCCTGGTGTTTTTGCAGGAGTGAAATGGCTGTCTTCGAACAGCTTTTTGGCTATTTATAGCAATGTTTTTCCACTTCAAAGGGTATTTTTGTAAACCCTGAATTACCAGCTTTAATTTCACACCCTTAAGTGCCAAATTTTACTTGGTTTCAATCCACAGCTGCTGTAACATTTTGTACTCTGCATGCTGCAAAGTGGCCAAAAATCAAACCTCATGGCAGTTCTGGATGAGTACAAATAAGTTCTTCTTCATGCCCATGATGCTGATCTCTATACAGCTGCTCTCCAAATGTTTACAAATCTGTTCAAGGCATGAGTGCAAGCAGAATACTTATCCTGTTGACAAATCAGTCATAAGGTGTATCATTAAAACCAATTGGAGAGTTTTGTTATGTTCAACCTCCAGCCTGAGCCAGGAGGTGGGTGCAGGCCACTTAATAGTTTAGACATTTTCAACACTGAATTGCAAGTGATTTTGCAAGTGATTATCTATTTGCATTGCCATGATGCAGTGGTGTAAGAGTAGGCAACCCTCTGTGGTAGGGTGATGGGACATGTGGTTTTCTATGACTGTTCATTGCATCCTTGGCAATTGATGCAGCTTGTCATCAATGGTAGGTTAAGTCAAGTTCAATTTTGAGTTGGTCTGAATGGGGCGTA